ATGAATGAGGTCCTAATAAATGTAGAAGGTTATTAATAAAATAAGAACAATAAAACATTTAATTATTTAATAACTATATTTCAGATACAGTGTGTCAATTCTTGTGTCTGCAACTATACATTATTTATTAGGTTCACAAAGGCATCTTACAATGAAAATATGATGTGTTGTAAAGAGCCTGTTATATCAGAGACATACATTACTGCATGCTGATGTGTGAATAAGTGCAGAAGATGTTATAGCCCAGTATAGGAGATCACACAAAGGGCAACAAAAAGAACATGCATAAAAATGATAGAGAAAGACAAATATTTCAATGGTTCCCAATTGCTGAAATTGTCTGACACCACTATTAATAAATGTAAGGCTATTGGAATTTTTATTTCCCTGCTTGTTTCAGAACAAGAACAGTCCTTTAATTAAAATGTGGAAAGAAGTTATTAATCATAGTCATGTTAAACTGTTTCTGGTTAATACCCCGATTGAATTTGTTTTTTCAGAGTACAGAAAAAGAAGGCGTTTGTCTCAGGTTCGAACAAGGTAAATGTAATTGTTTTGAACAAAATCATTAATCTACAGCTGCTTTTTTATCATGTAAAAAAAGAGTACGATGGCATGCAAGTACAGACAGACAGGTGCAGGCGAGCAAACACAAACACTTAAGCTCTTTTCGGTACCCGGTCTAATTCAGTACCACACACTTGACATTATAATCTTCAACCTTGCTAGCTGTATAAATCTCTATGTTTTGCTAGTTTGCTAGTTTTTTAATATACTTAAGACTCAAAAGAGTTTGATATTTCCAAATACACTTTGGCATCTTCCTCAAATTTGTAAAGCTTGCTAATTTTACAAGAGTCTAGGTCACAGATGCAAATTCAGACAAGCATTGGCACAGTGATTCCTAAATACCTCTATTAATCCTAAACTATCATTTGTAACATTTTTTTCCAATGGTACTTCATACCATGCTTTGGCATTATCAATGCTATATACAATAGTACCTTAAATGTTGGTTTGACAGTGTTCAGTGCTATATTGAGTGGTACTCGGAGGTATGACAGGGGTTTACAGTGTGAAATTCAATGGTACTTTCCTTAATAAACTGTATTGTCTTCTACATGGTATGTGTGATAATATTTTCAATATAAAATATGGTATTTTTCACAGTGGACTAAATGATAAACTAAATGGGAAATGATATATGTGATTGCACAATGAGTGGTATTTTTAGCATTGTGCGTTGTATTGTTTAATTAGCTAGAGACAGAGAAGTGTGGGGATATTTAAAGCTGTTCCTGCTTTTGGGGGACATGTGCAAACACATATAAAGTATATATATGTTTCTATTTGAAAATATATTAAAATGTATTACAGCTTGATGAATTAACCAACCTACTAGCCAAAGACAAAATAAAAACTTGATAGAAATAGCTTGTGGCCCTAGCTGTGACTGTCAAAGCTAGGTGTGTACAAACAATGGTGGAATTGTTAATTTATCTCCGCAGTACACAGAAGACAAGCAGCCCACATTGAGCTGCAGACAGAAACATCACTGTTTTCCACTAGCAATGCAATGTCATGAAACAAATGTGTTAACAAACTGATGGCACAATAACTAAAGTGATATGGCACAGATGTCTTTTATTAGGAAATGGAAGTCCGCAATGACAGTGGTACAAGACAAGATGCATGGTAAGTCAATAAATAAAGTTAATTTGAAAATTTTGTGCTTCACAGTCAGGGAAGACTTAATTTCTCAACTTAGTACTGTTTCATATTCACACATATATAATGGGTGCCTTCATAATAAATTATCCTGAGCAATTCATGCAACCTGATTTGGACCCCTTGGTCATCATTGAATTTCTGACCTCAGCACAGGTGCTGCTCTGAGGAAGAAAGCAGCCCTTGTAGTTATAGAAGGACATAGAGCAGCAGGACAAGAAGAGTGCCTATATACAGTGAGCTTACGAACCTTGCGGTGTGGATCTTGTACTGCAGATTTGCATATTGTGTGGTCAAATTGAAGGAGTTCTCCAAGGTTAAAGTATGATTACATGGTCATGTTGTGGTGCAGGAATGGCTTGAGAGAGCAGCCAATATCATTTTATTACAGAGCCCTAGTGAAGCAGTGGTGAAAGCCTAGTCTGGAAGACATGTTGAAAAATGAAAGTTTTACCCACCTGTAAATTTGGCCAATACTTTACAAATTATCTTTGTTTACTGACTTTAGTCCATGCTGGACACTACAACATTTTATATGGGTTTAAGTCAGGATTGTTACTGTTGTAAAATACCTGAATATTTCCATCAACTGTCCACGATACTGTTCATTTCTTTCGAAATATAAGGCATTGTGGGTAAATGTAAGTGCACTGGGGCTTGGTGAGTAAGAGCCTGCCACAATAAGGCACTTCACTCCCTTGACATCCAGTGGAGAATTCCCCCACAGAAGCAGAGCTGGTCTAGTGGGGCTCCCCGTGTTCAAGGGAGCAGTGGAAGGTGGTTGTTCTGAGCCCACAGGAAGATGTGAATGAACTACCACAGGGAGAGAGCCAAGCTTCATAAGGAAATAAGATACTGCCGAAAAAAAAAATGTATTTTAAGTTCAAGAGGGAAGCTAGCAGCTGATTTCATTTTATTTGGTGTTTTAAATGTTTTCATTTGACTTAAACAAGTCCGCTCTTTAAATTTCGCATGATTTTTTACCTGAGAAGTGTGGCAGATCCCTCCTTTAGGATAGCTGTTTCAACAGCACTTCAACAAACATATAAACTCAGAAATTCCTGGGTCCTGTATTTATCAAAGGTTGAATTGAATATAATAATGAAATCATACAAAAGTCTTTTCTCTTTGCTACCCCCACCCTTACTAGGTGTGTTTACTCTATATATAGGTTACCTACTGTATATCTGACTCCACCTCTACCTACTATATCTTACTCTACTAAGCACTACTGACAAATAGCACACATTGTCTACTGACAACAGGGAAGGAAAGACTCACCTTTTATGCACAAACCCACATGTGCAAATCACTTTCAAAACACTTAATAATTCATTTATATACAATTACACACTGCAAGTTAACTATTTACTGTGAAGTGTATAAACCACCTCACTAGCGGCCTCTAATGGCGATCCCATTGTCATTACAGCTTCTGAGCGTTATTCAATGGATAAACCACACAGGTCAGGCATAATTCTATAACACCACCAGAGCTTAATAATGACAGAAATATGTTGTCTCAACATTTAATCTGGGCTGATTCTATACACTATTTTTCATTTGAAATATTGTCATAACTTTTACCAATAATATTTTAGTAATTTCACATCCACAGTACGTTTTTGCTAATGGCGTGCACCGATTTAACTTTCAAGAAATTTTACAACTGGAGTTTTTTTATGCAATTTTAGCGCTCATGTGGACAGCTGGAATATGTATAAATGAATATTTCACAGCTTCTGGATATTGAAGGACTTTGAAACAGTTGAAAAAAAACTGCAGATGGAATTTATTGATCATACTGTGTATTTCTGAATTTATTAAAAATTTGTGAGAAGTAAAATCACATCTATTTCTACATTGCATTAAGAGTATAAAACTGCCTTGGAGGAACCCTTTTTCCAATACAGCACAGCTGTATTATACTAAAATATTAAAAAATAATTATAAAAACAACTAAAGCGACTTTAATCTGCACATTCTCTCATCATATAAAACTGATTATTTGACGATATTCATTATATAACGCCTACCGCTGCAGGATTTTATGAGCTTATCCTTTTTTATTTTGTAGGGAAAAATCACAGAATTTAAAGCAGATTACAGTACATCTATATACTGTACATGCCACAT